AGATATCTGAAGAGCAGCTTACTGTGGAAGCAGAGACTGAAATCACAGCAACAGATGCTTTTGCGCAGCTTTACAGATCTCTATCCACTCTGGATGGGCATTAGGCAGCAGTATAGGGAGTGCCAGATCTGTGATCTCATGCAGGTGCAGCATCTGTTGAGTTACATAACGTGTCCTGGTAGAGTGAGCTCCATCCACGTCATTATGTTAACAGGATTATGGAGCTCCCAGGTTCGGGGAAGGTGGTACTCAGGAGACAGATTAGGAGGATACTGCTTAAACAGATGAAGGAGAACAGGAACAAGGACAGAGTGTGGCCTCACCTGTTGTCCAATATAGTGTCTGAGCCACTAAAGAGATTGGCAGGTCAGCCACTGCCGGTCTCAATACCATAATTAATTGGCGTCCGTCCCGACCTCCTTACTAAGCCATAAGGATCAACCTTTTTTTCCCTGACGACATCAAAGGCCAATGGGATCTAAAAAAAATCAGATGCACAGTAGTGAAGATTTCATTTACAATAATTTTACAATGCTATGTGCATGCATAGGAATTCAGTGGGGGACAGTCAATTCAATACTTTAGTCAGGTCAAAAAATCAGACATCCAAAAAGAAGATGTCCATGCTACGAAAGGAGAGTGGCCTGGGTCAAGACAATCTACCAACCCAAATGGGAAAGACGTTTTCTTTTTAAATTATGGGGACTGAGAAAATAAGGGGTTGATTTCCCCCCTCCCTTCGTGATCTAAGCGATTAAGTGTGACACAGAGGACATTCCTGGGATTTAAGAAGGGCAATTAATCAAATTGGGTTTTATATGGAATCAGAGATAATCTGACTGTTTAGCCAAATCCCATAATCTATCCTGATTAGCAGTAAGGTGGCTGGAGGGAGCCTGGAGATTAGCAGAAAGACAGCAGTAGAGAATAAGAGAGAGGGGGGGGGGGGGGGGGGGGGGGATGAGGATAATACAAGATAGAGGGAAATGATAGACTTTCTGGCCAACACTATAACAGCTCTCTTTCTCTCTCTCTCTCCCTCTCTCTCTCTCTCTCTATCTCTCTCTCTCTCTCTCTCTCTCTCTCTCTCTCTCTCTCTCTCTCTCTCTCTCTCTCTCTCTCTCTCTCTCTCTCTCTCTCTCTCTCTCTCTCTCTCTAATGTTGGAAACATGTTTACATTACCAAAGCAAGTGAAATAAACAAAAATGAAATAAACAATCAGAAATTAAGAGTAAACATTACACACAAAGTTTCAAAAGAATAGAGACATTTCAAATGTTATATTATGTACAGTCTTGTAACAATCCTCTCTCTGTCTCTCTCTCTGTGTCAGACCTCAGCAGAAATGAACACAGCTCCCCCTGCAGGAAGCGCCCTGGCCACGCCCGCCGGAACAGCTGGCCCCACCACCCCCAAGAAGGGACCCCCTAAGTTCAAGCAGAGGCAGACCCGTACATTCAAAGAGCAAGGCCCCCAAACCTGGCCAGAAAGGGTGAGAATCTCTCTCTGTCGTCACACATTCACACAGATACACACAAACTCCACACACAACCGTTCCACTTATTCACACTAACAAGCACTCAGTTTTCTCACATTCTCAAACCTGTATAAATAAACACAGACAAATTCTAGAATCTGTAAGATACAAACATGTCTCCTTGTCAATTACAGATTTGGTGATGACATCCCCGGCATGGAGGGTCTTGGCACAGGTAACTTTGATATTCCATCTGCAATCATCAGTAGTCATGTTTGTTCATCTATATATTTGTATTTCTACTTTCAGTATACAGTGCCTTCAGAAAGTATTCATGCCCCTTGAATTATCCCACATTTAGTTGTGTTACAGCCTGAATTCAAAATGGATTAAATATGATTTTTTTCTCACACATTTACACACAATACTCCACAATGACAAAGTGAAAACATGTTTCTAGACATTTTTGCAAATGTATTTAAAATGAAATGCAGAAATGTTCATTAACATAAGTATTCACACCCCTGAGTCAATACATGTTAGAATCACCTTTGGCAGCAATAACAGCTGTGAGTTTTTCTTAGTAAGTCTCAAAGAGTTTTGCACACCTGGATTGTACAATATTTTCCCATTATTATTTTCAAAATGAAGCTCTGTCAAATTTGTTGTTGATCATAGCTAGACAACCATTTTCAAGCAGATTTAAGTCAAAACTGTAACTCGGCCACTTAGGAACATTCACTGTCTTCTCGGTAAGCAACTCCAGTGTAGATTTGGCCTTGTGTTTTAAGTTAATGTCCTGCTGAAATATGAATTCCTCTCCCAGTGTTTGGTGGAAAGCAGACTGAACCAGGTTTTCTCCTAGGATTTTTCTTGTGCTTAGCTCCATTCCGTTTCTTTTTCACCCTGAAAACTCCACAGTCCTTAACGATTACAAGCATACACATAACATGATGCAGCCACCACTATACTTGAAAATACGGAGAGTGGTACTCACTAATGTGTTCTATTGCATTTGCCCCAAACATAACACTTTGTATTCAGGACATAAAGTGAATTGCTTTGCCAAATTGTTTGCAGTATTACTTTAGTGCCTTGTTGCAAACAGGATGCATGTTTTGGAATATTTTTATTCTGTACAGACTTCCTTCTTTTCACTCTGTCAATTAGGTTAGTAATCTGGAGTAACTATAATGTTGTTGATCCATCCTCAGTTTTTTCCTATCACAGCCATTAAACTCTATAACTGTTTTAAAGTCACTATTGGCCTCATGGTGAAATCCCTGAGCGGTTTCCTTCCTCTCCGGCAACTGAGTTAGGAAGGACGCCTGTAACTTTGTGTAGGTACCTTTCTTTGTGAGGAATTGGAAAACCTCCCTGGTCTTTGAAGTTGAATCTGAGTTTGAAATTCACTGTTCAACTGAGGGACCATACAGATAATTGTATGTGTGGGGTACAGAGATGAGGTAGTCATTTTAAAATTATGTTAAACACTATTAGTGCACACAGAGTGAGTCCATGCAACTTTTATGTGAATTGTGAAGAAAAAAATACGACTTATGGACTCAAGACATTTCAGCTTTTCTGTTCTATTTGTAATTAATTAGTAAACATTTTGAAAAACATAATTCCACTTTGACATTATGGGGTATTGTGTGTAGGCCAGTGACAAAAACCCCCCGCTATTTAATCAATTTTCAATTCAGGCTGTAACAGAACAAATGTGGAAAAAGTCAAGGGGTGTGAATACTTTCTGAAGGCACTGTATATGGCTGTTGATAGATAACCAACGACAATCAACAAGTGTTCCTTGCCCGTTTTCATCAACTGGACAATCAATACTAATTGTTTCTCCCTCTCTCATTCTCTCTAGACATAGCAGTGGTCTGCCCATGGGAGGCCTACGGCGACATGGAGCTCAGTGATCTGGCCAAATATGGAATCATCTAAGACTGCAGCCTCCTGCCTTCCCTTAACCTCTCCGCTCTTAACCTCTGACCCCTCCCTCTGTGTTAGTCTGGCGCGCCACCATAAGGCGACTGGCCATCCCCCTAAAGTCGTCTCTTCACTCCACGCTGTTCTTAAGTCTGTTGTGGTCAGGCACTGTGGCCTGAAATACCATATACGGTGGGCAGACGGAACACTGAACTGTTTATTTTTATTATTATCATATAATAGTATTATACTGTATTTTAAACAGGACATAAGAGATACTTGATGTGATACAACGAGACCACACCCACCCCTCCTCTCTACAATAGCCTACCTCGGCTCCCCCATCCCTCTCTCCTTCTGTAATCCCTCAGATTCCTTTAGTCCCTCAATTCCTCTGTCAACCATCAATCACAGCAATGGACGCAAGCAAAATACTAGCTATGACTAGCTTGTATTTGCTTATAGTCTACTACAGAACTGTAAATATGTCCCTGTTTCCAATGCAGCCTCTACCTTTATTCGTTACCCTCCCTTTTTACCCCAAGGTATTTTTTGTCTGTTTTTTGTTGTTGCATTGTGTTTTTTACTTGTTGATAAAGGCGTGCCACTGTGAACACACAGGGAACGAAAGGGATGAGACCAGGGAGGAGGGTGTGTGATATATATTGTGATGACCAAAACTACAATGCTTTGTCATAGATCATTATGGTGAAGGCATTCCCTGTTATCCCTGTGGTGCTACCACACTACCCCCTTCTTAGTGTACGGTATGCCACCAAACTAAATATAAACATATTGATGTGTTACACACACAAACACATTTATATGACAGAATGCGTATGTGTGATTGTATGTCCTGATAGATCCATTAAAGTTTTTATTTTCAATACTCATGTTGTCCTTTTCTCTTCTGTCATCTCTGAGAAAATATCAGAAAATACAACCCCTTCCATGATGGGGTATAAATGAAAATCTGAGTATGTTATACTTTTCACTAATAACTGACATTATTTTAAAGAACATTAATTAAGAATGGCAATGAACATTCATAAGCATATATTTCAACCATATTTTTTCTACATTGCTCCATCATAACATACTGTAGTTTGAAACTATAACAAATGTATATTTCTCACAACCGGTTCCTATGTTTTTCCCAAACATACTGTACATGTCCTGATCTCAGAAACACATCCAGCTGTCACCAGTGTCTTACACAACAATGTCTCATTTCCATGACATACCAACCACAAGTATTGAGTAAGAATAATACAGTATGCCACTTTTGGAATATTCCAGATAATGTCCTGGGTGTCACAATCACTTAGCACACAAAGGGAGGGGGAAATCAACTCCTTCATTTCTCAGTCCCCAAAATATATTTCTCAAAACGTCTTTCCCATTTGTATTGCTACATTGTTTTGGTTGATGCCCTGTGATCATAGGTCAGTCTCTGTGTCTGTGCTTTAGTATTTATTTAGTAATTCTTGACATTGCTGATACTGTTTATTCTTCTAGCTCCCTGAAGCTTATGGAAATCGTATACTGTGAACAGGCAAACTGTCCTGGCCTTTGTGTCTGTCTCTATGAAAGCTTCAGTGTCTATACCCTTTGCTCCATTTGCACACACCTTACAGAACGTCCTTGCCTGTACAGACTTGAGCCCAGGAGCTCAGCACGGGCTTGTTCATACAGAGACCCAATGGAAGGCATTCTCCCTCCCTGACGTACACCACCTGAGGGGTATCAATGTTGTGAGGTTATGTCTAAGTGGTTACTGTTAATCTTAGGGACAGCTAGATGAGTCAGTTGTGTTATTCAGCCTCCTCCCTCCTCCTCCTCGGTCGTCACTAGTTACTATAGCCACAAAGTAATAAACCCTGTCTATTTCTACAAAAATTAGATTTTAAAACTAACCTCAACCACACTTATGTCTAAACCTTACCTTAAAACCAAAAAGCAATAAATAAAAAAATATGAATAGCCAATTTTGAGGTTGTAGTAACTAGTGGAAACCCTCCTCCTCACCTCTAACCTCGCTCTGTAACATAGCAACCAGCAGTGTGATTATTTATGATGACCGGACATTCAGATCTGGGCCTATGCATATCATTTCCAATCACGTGGTCAACTCTCATAGCTAGATGTTCAACTTTAGCATTTCCTTGTAAACATACCAAAATCTGTGGTTGTTGCATACATACACATGCACTGATAAAGAGGGGGATATGGAAGTCAAATCTATTGAGAAACTGTATAGAGGGGGTGGTTGATACTGCATGTGTGTGTGCGTGAGTGTGTGTGTGTATTTGTGTGTGTGTCAGTGCCTGTTCCATAGCCTCCAGGGGTTTGAGCCCCACCTATACTTTGCTGTTTTGTGAGATAGACTAAGAGAAAGAGAGTGAGAGGAGGGGAAGTCAGGGGTGGGTCAGTCCAAACTTCTCTGCTATCTGTAGATGTAGATTTGGGCGAGGTGAAAAAATCCTCATCTTTCGTTTCCAAACTCATTTGCTCCCTCTCTCATTCCTTTCTTCCTGCTTTCCCTCCCTTCCTCTTGCACTCACTGCCTGTAAAATATATGGGAACATCCTTGAGTTAGGAGGCATGTTCATACATAGATGACTGTCTACTGATGCATCAGCTGAGAGTTCATTGCAAATCTCAAGTGGAACTACAAGTACGAGAGAAATAACCAGGAACCACAGAGGTGGATGCACTGAAGCCTCAGGATAAAGGGTAAGTCAATTCATGTTACTCTTCTTCGCTTGTTTGAAAGTTGCAGCTTGAATGGAGGTATAGCCTACACAGGAAGAGTTTGTTATTTTAAAGTAAAAATGTTGCTCACAAGATTAAAGGTAACAGCTGAAGCAATGATGCCCTCATGTCTCCTGTTGTTGGATGACAATTTATCATTATTGTTTAGACTGTTGTTACTGGGTAAAAGTCAACCAATTCAACGACCCGATTAACGGAAAAACATAACATTCAAAACAATTGTTTTATGAAATATTTGTTTATGTTTCATACTAGTTTGTGTTACATAACAAATGACCAGTCACATATAGTGGGGAAAAAAAGGTATTTAGTCAGCCACCAATTGTGCAAGTTCTCCCACTTAAAAAGATGAGAGAGGCCTGTAATTTTCATCATAGGTACACGTCAACTATGACAGACAAAATGAGATTTTTTTTCTCCAAAAATCACATTGTAGGATTTTTAATGAATTTATTTGCAAATTATGGTGGAAAATAAGTATTTGGTCAATAACAAAAGTTTCTCAATACTTTGTTATATACCCTTTGTTGTCAATGACACAGCTCAAACGTTTTCTGTAAGTCTTCACAAGGTCTTCACACACTGTTGCTGGTATTTTGGCCCATTCCTCCATGCAGATCTCCTCTAGAGCAGTGATGTTTTGGGGCTGTCGCTGGGCAACACGGACTTTCAACTCCCTCCAAAGATGTTCTATGGGGTTGAGATCTGGAGACTGGCTAGGCCACTCCAGGACCTTGAAATGCTTCTTACGAAGTCACTCCTTCGTTGCCCGGGCGGTGTGTTTGGGATCATTATCATGCTGAAAGACCCAGCCACATTTCATCTTCAATGCCCTTGCTGATGGAAGGAGGTTTTCACTCAAAATCTCACAATACATGGCCCCATTCATTCTTTCCTTTACACGGATCAGTCGTCCTGGTCCCTTTGCAGAAAAACAGCTCCAAAGCATAATGTTTCCACCCCCATGCTTCACAGTAGGTATGGTGTTCTTTGGATGCAACTCAGCATTCGTTGTCCTCCAAACACGACGAGTTGAGTTTTTACCAAAAAGTTATATTTTGGTTTCATCTGACCATATGACATTCTCCCAATCCTCTTCTGGATCATCCAAATGCACTCTAGCAAACTTCAGACGGGCCTGGACATGTACTGGCTTAAGCAGGGGGACACGTCTGGCACTGCAGGATTTGAGTCCCTGGCGGCGTAGTGTGTTACTGATGGTAGGCTTTTTTACTTTGGTCCCAGCTCTCTGCAGGTCATTCACTAGGTCCCCCCGTGTGGTTCTGGGATTTTTGCTCACCGTTCTTGTGATCATTTTGACCCCACGGGGTGAGATCTTGCGTGGAGCCCCAGATCGAGGGAGATTATCAGTGGTCTTTTATGTCTTCCATTTCCTAATAATTGCTCCCACAGTTGATTTCTTCAAACCAAGCTGCTTACCTATTGCAGATTCAGTCTTTCCAGCCTGGTGCAGGTCTACAATTTTGTTTCTGGTGTCCTTTGACAGCTCTTTGGTCTTGGCCATAGTGGAGTTTGGAGTGTGACTGTTTGAGGTTGTGGACAGGTGTCTTTTATACTGATAACAAGTTCAAACAGGTGCCATTAATACAGGTAACAAGTGGAGGACAGAGGAGCCTCTTAAAGAAGAAGTTACAGGTCTGTGAGAGCCAGAAATCTTGCTTGTTTGTAGGTGACCAAATACTTATTTTCCACCATAATTTGCAAATAAATTCATAAAAAATCCTACAATGTGATTTTCTGGATTTTCTTTTCTCAATTTGTCTGTCATAGTTGACGTGTACCTATGATGAAAATTACAGGCCTCTCTCATCTTTTTAAGTGGGAGAACTTGCACAATTGGTGGCTGACTAAATACTTTTTTTCCCCCACTGTAAACATGTTCCTGAAATCATCTGTAAAGATGTATAGAGGTTTCATCTCCTGTCCTCTGTGCAAAACAGAGTTATCCTTAAGCTTTAAATAAAGGGGCCAGGGCCATATTTACCCAGCGATAAGCATATTAAATGTCATATTTAAATCTCTGACACTGAAACAAGGGCTCTGTTATGAACTAGAGGAAGTGACAATGAACTATCAGGAGAGTATATCTCTGGCTTCTCTCTCTCACTCCCTCTCACTTCCAGTGTGTCAACCCCCCCTCGCATTTGTCTTCACTCTCACGCTCACTCCCTATTGCTCTCTTTCCTGGTTTCACACGGCTGTATGAGTTAATGTAGTTCTCCATTTTTCCTCTGTGTAGAGCAGGGATGAGTCCCCAATTTTTTTAAATGAATTTTTATATTTTATTTTAGGAAATCAGTTGGGCTTTCAACTTACTGCTGCGAGTTAAAATAGTGGAATACACAAGGTGCAATTTTGAAATTTGGTTGTGCATCAGCAGTTTTTGTCTTGTCATGTAAAGCACTGATAGTCAGTCAATTAGCATACGTCAGCAAAATATATTTTAGATTGCTAAGTTAGTTATGCGGCCAGCTATCTAAACTGTCCTGTATAAAATACAGTATAATACTATTATATGATTATGTTGGTCAGTCTCAATCAGATATAATATTAAAAACTACAAACATTTCTCTCCTGCAAAATGTTAATTGCAGAAATTAGCGTATAAACAGTGGTCTCGGCTCCAATTTTTGTGGCCCCGACTCCCTCTCTCTGGTGAGAGTTCAGACCTGTTCTATGTCCTGGTTCTTGTGCCCTCCTATGGCTTCTGTCTGTCTGTCTTCATGTCTGTCTGTCTGTCTGCTCTCTGTCTTCGTCTGTCTGTCTGTCGCTTCCTCTTCTCCTCTCTCTCTCTCTCTCTCTTCGCGTCTCTCTCTCTCCTCTCTCTCTCTCTCTCTCTCTCTCTCTCTCTCTCTCTCTCTCTCTCTCTCTCTCTGATCTTTATTCAAAAGCACCTTAATTGATTTGATTGTGCTAAATACCGCTATGCTCTATAAATAAAGATATTCAGAGTCAAAAATACATGCTCTCATGGATGCTACTTTTTCTAGGTAGCAAAGGCCCACCTGAGCAGGGAGTATACCATCAAAACAGAAAACCAGGGAGGAAGGACACAACAACATGCTGACAAAACAAAAAAAGATGGTCTTTCCATTCCAGATACACAAATCAATTTTTCTCATCCTACTATTCAATGTCCCACTTCCCAGCACATGTCAGACCACACTGAATGCCCACAGCACCCTCAACCAAACCATCCCTCACACTGCTGCCACTAGCTCTAATGCTATCCCCAATACCACCACTAATAATTCCACTGTAAAATCCACTATCAACCGAGGCACCATTCCCTTCCTCCAGCGCAACTTTTCCTCAAACTCTAATTCCCAGGATGCAATCCTGGGGTGTGGGGCGGATCTGGACCCCATCTACTCCTACCTGTGTGACCGTCAGGTGGTGTGGGGTATCGTGGTGGAGAGCTTGGCCTCACTGGGCTTTGTGGTCAGTTCAGGGCTGCTAGTGGGGCTGCTGTTCTGGACCCTGTGGATGTGTGTGTCGTCCCGCCAGCGCAGGGGCATCGGGGGGAGCGTAGCCTCCATGGCTTTGTTCCTGGTCAGCACGGCAGGGGTCTTCGCCCTGACCTTTGCCTTCGTCATCCGCCTCACCCCCCAGACATGCCCCACGCGCCTCTTCCTGTTCGGGGTGCTGTTCTCCCTGGCTTTCTCCTGCCTGCTGGCGCGATGCCTGGCCCTGCTGGGCTTCGCTGTGACCCGGGGCTGGGGGGAGAGTGGGGTGGCCCTGGCCCTCTTCACCCTCCAGGTGGTCATCGCTACAGAGTGGCTGATCATCGTACTGCTGCGGGACGGCCAGCCCTGTCAGTACTCCCAGGGGGAGTTTGTCATGTTGCTCATCTACGTGCTGGTTCTGCTGGCCACCGGCCTGGTCCTCTCCCTGTGCTGCCTCTGCCACTCCTGTCTCACCTACAGCTATAGCTACAGCGGGGGCACCCACCGACAGAGCAAGGTCCAGGCCACACTGCTCTGCCTCACCCTGCTGCTGTCCGCTGCCATCTGGGTGGTGTGGATCGCCCTGCTGACCCGGGGTAACATGGAGATGGGCCGGCGGCCGCAGTGGGATGACCCGGTGCTGAGTATAGCCCTGGTGGCCAACGGCTGGGTCCTGCTGCTGGGCCACGGACTGGCCCAAGTGGTCCTCCTCTGCAGGTGGGAGGCCAGCTCCAAGGAGGGCCCCCTCAACTTTGGCGGATGGACCAGTCCCAATGCCAACTGCCAGGGCTGGGCAGCCCGAAAGAAGGAAGGGAGAACAGAAGCTTTGAGAACGACGGTGAGGAACGGAGAAGTGAGAAACAGTAGCACTGAAAAGGAGTAAAGCAGGGGAATGTACTGTACTGCATGTCTACGTTTAGTTAATCAGCAAAATAACATTAGAAACACAGACAATTGACTGTTGGGAGAGTACTAATAAGTTAGCATGGAAGCTAAATTATATATGGACTAGCTCCAATGAATAAGATATGACATATGAGGTTAATTACACAATCAGTCACTTTAATACTCACTGTATGGAATTTGCAGATAATTGAGTCATTGTATCGTGTTCTCTTCCCCAGGCAGAAGACAAGACCCCGTTTTCCAGTCACCATATGAGTCTGGATTCTCAATGACAGTGAGTAGGCCTCAAAATGGCTCTGGGCATTGCTGAGTGATTAAAAGGAATGAGAATCAGCATATGTGTTGTAACAAAGAATAACTAACAAAAATATATGCTTAATCCAAGATAATGTATAGAATTGTATTATACAGTGGGGAAAAAAAGTATTTAGTCAGCCACCAATTGTGCAAGTTCTCCCACTTAAAAAGATGAGAGAGGCCTGTAATTTTCATCATAGGTACACGTCAACTATGACAGACAAATTGAGAAGAAAAAATCCAGAAAATCACATTGTAGGATTTTTAATGAATTTATTTGCAAATTATGGTGGAAAATAAGTATTTGGTCACCTACAAACAAGCAAGATTTCTGGCTCTCACAGACCTGTAACTTCTTCTTTAAGAGGCTCCTCTGTCCTCCACTCGTTACCTGTATTAATGGCACCTGTTTGAACTTGTTATCAGTATAAAAGACACCTGTCCACAACCTCAAACAGTCACACTCCAAACTCCACTATGGCCAAGACCAAAGAGCTGTCAAAGGACACCGGAAACAAAATTGTAGACCTGCACCAGGCTGGGAAGACTGAATCTGCAATAGGTAAGCAGCTTGGTTTGAAGAAATCAACTGTGGGAGCAATTATTAGGAAATGGAAGACATACAAGACCACTGATAATCTCCCTCGATCTGGGGCTCCACGCAAGATCTCACCCTGTGGGGTCAAAATGATCACAAGAACGGTGAGCAAAAATCCCAGAACCACACGGGGGGACCTAGTGAATGACCTGCAGAGAGCTGGGACCAAAGTAACAAAGCCTACCATCAGTAACACACTACGCCGCCAGGGACTCAAATCCTTCAGTGCCAGACGTGTCCCCCCGCTTAAGCCAGTACATGTCCAGGCCCGTCTGAAGTTTGCTAGAGTGCATTTGGATGATCCAGAAGAGGATTGGGAGAATGTCATATGGTCAGATGAAACCAAAATAGAACTTTTTGGTAAAAACTCAACTTGTCGTGTTTGGAGGACAAAGAATGCTGAGTTGCATCCAAAGAACACCATACCTACTGTGAAGCATGGGGGTGGAAACATCATGCTTTGGGGCTGTTTTTCTGCAAAGGGACCAGGACGACTGATCCGTGTAAAGGAAAGAATGAATGGGGCCATGTATTGTGAGATTTTGAGTGAAAACCTCCTTCCATCAGCAAGGGCATTGAAGATTAAACGTGGCTGGGTCTTTCAGCATGACAATGATCCCAAACACACCGCCGGGCAACGAAGGAGTGGCTTCGTAAGAAGCATTTCAAGGTCCTGGAGTGGCCTAGCCAGTCTCCAGATCTCAACCCCATAGAAAATCTTTGGAGGGAGTTGAAAGTCCGTGTTGCCCAGCGACAGCCCCAAAACATCACTGCTCTAGAGGAGATCTGCATGGAGGAATGGGCCAAAATACCAGCAACAGTGTGTGAAAATCTTGTGAAGACTTACAGAAAACGTTTGACCTGTGTCATTGCCAACAAAGGTTATATAACAAAGTATTGAGAAACTTTTGTTATTGACCAAATACTTATTTCCACCATAATTTGCAAATACATTTATTACAAATCCTACAATGTGATTTTCTGGATTTTCTTTTCTCATTTTGTCTGTCATAGTTGATGTGTACCTATGATGAAAATTACAGGCCTCTCTCATCTTTTTAAGTGGGAGAACTTGCACAATTGGTGGCTGACTAAATACTTTTTTTCCCCACTGTACAAGAGACAAAATTCACAAATTCTACAGCACAAGGGCAGAGTCATGTCTTAAGTGTAAAACTAATAAAGACTCAATAATCCATGCTTTCTGGGAACGCTATAAAGTCCGGAAGTTGTGGGCGGAGCTAGAAAGTTGGCAGCCAGAAGTATTACAATGTAAATGTACTTTTAATCCGTCTGTCTGCATATTTCAAGACATGGCATATGAGGGTGTAGTGAGATACCCGATGGGTTGGACGATTCTCTTCTCATCACTCATCTTGAAAAAACGCATACTAAAAACATGGAAATCAATCAATCCGCCATCATTAACACAATGGAAAAATGAAATGATTTATTATTTCAATATTGAAAGTGCGTGGGCTACGGAGAGAAACAAAATGGTGCAGTTTCAGGCCATGTTGCAGAAAGTGATGCGGGCGCTGGAGATGGGGGTGTGTGCTAGTCGGTCTGGGCAGGTGTGATGTAGTTGATGTTTGTATGATGTTGTCATTTGTATGTGTATGTTTTGTATTGTTTATAAAATATAAAATAACCTCTTACAAAAGAATATGACCCTTACCATTACAAGCAATGTATCTGTAATTATTAACTGCACTAATATGATGAATGTTTTAATGTTTCACTGTGTCTGTTTCAGGAAATAGATCCTGACAAAGATTACTCCATCCCTCGTCCTCAGACTACCAACATCAGCGAGCCCTATGATGAATACTATGGACACAGCATGTCTGATTAGGATCACATTGCTTTTCGTGTACACACACACACACACACACACACACACACAAAGACAGCCTAACAGCTGAACATATACATGCACTCTCAGATGACCCAGAAATGTTTTTGAAGTTCAGCTACAAATGTATATTTATTGTATAGAACCTGAATTGCAACATGATTTCCATAATTATGTGACTAAGGCTTGATTGATTAATTTAATTAATCTTTACTCAGGCTGGATCCAGATAGAATGAGCTTACTGAATTTGAGCTAATGTGACAAGTGTTTTTGCAACATGCTGCTTGAAAACACCAGAGACAGTGTCTAATAGGCCCAGGGAGGAGGCGGCGTGAATCTGTCTGTATTAGGGTGCCAAACTGCAGGGATGAGGCAGCGCCAGGCATGTGTGCAGGAGAGGAGAGAAAGGACCTGGCAGCACTAAAGTAGACCCTTGTCATCATGTCTTAACATCTTCTTATGTAAAGGTACATGGTGGCTTTTTTTTCTTTAAACCCCAGTTTATAAATACAAATCAATGTTATACTATGCATATTGTGCAGTTTGAAAAAGTGTTATTAAAATTGAATGTTAAAAGGTATATTTGTTAGTCATATCTAACAGCAGAGGGCTGATTCATTCTCTCACAAAAAAAGCAGCAGGAGCTAGATTGAATGTGGTAGTACTGTGTTTAACCACTAGGTGACACTGTACAACATGTGTGAATTATTGTTGGTGGGATTCAATTTACCTCAATGTTCATACTATTATTGAGCCACCAAATGTAAACAAATGCATTCCATCATGTAATTTCCACATGCAAATATTGTTTACTGATATGAATGATAGATCTGTAGTGCTCTAGGAATGACATATGAGAGCAATATAACTTTATACTCTGCCTATAGGCATCATGGTCATCTCATTTCCTCCCATAGTGGGCGAGTCAGTGGGGTCAATACCTCAATAATTCAGTGGATCCATGTGCTTTATTGTTTCACTGATCAAACAGCCCTCAATTTAATCCTTTCAATTAGTCCTACTTCAATAATCTGGAAGTGCATGTCATCAACTGGGCAATTAGCCTCTTGTGCATTAGAGCAATTAACAGGGATATGAGATTTCCTCCAAACTCAACCCAGACATTCACATTCATTAACTTTAGATGCAATGAGAGAATGGTCTATTTTTTCCCTAAGTGGCAATGAACGAGTTTGGTTAGAGAAAATTGGCTATAGGAGGTAAAACTCTACTTTAGAGTTCAAGTTGGCATAGTTGCCACCAGCGCTACTACTAGTGAACAACAATCATGACGAATGCCATGTGGCCATACCCTAAGACAACATAACAATAATCAATGGCAACAAAATCTACCAAACATTTTACCCAAATGAGGAGTTGAGAAAAGAGGAGTATAAAAACCAAACCGTTTATTTTGTACATTCAATAACAATGACAGGAAACAGAGGGCAAACATGAGGAAAAACACACAAGTCACTTGTTGAAGAAAATAAAAAAATATCACTTGGATCAATGAGCTTAGCAATGCACATGTGAAAACAAAAAAGTCACATGCAATTCCAACTCATATGAAATCCCTGTCCAACAACTCCCACTAGGTTGACTTCCGCACAGTGCAGGGGTAAGTCAGACACAGCTGGGTCTAAGGTGATCTCAGCAGCCGTGAGAGGGCCACTGCTGGGTAACAAGTGGAACGTTATGGAGGGATGGTCAGTTGCTGTGCCAGAGCAGTCTTGTGCTACAATGCAGCGCATTGGAAACATCAACCTTAGTTCTGTCTGTGCTAAACTGATGTGTGCATGGTGGGACAATGTCATTGGTTTACTTAACATACTTCAAAAGAAAAACTGCAGGGTTTCAACATTCCACATTAAAATTGAACTAAGAGATATAACTGGTAATTCAAATGATATCATGACCACAGAAGAACATAGATAACCCAGGCATAAACAAGCAGTGTTTTACATATCATTATTCCCCCTAGCTACAAACAAACTAAAGTGGACTATGTTGAGACCCCTCTCAATCCTGCCTTCATATCTCACATAACCTCCTTTCCATAGAAATTGTTTGATTCATGCAACAAATGAAATGACTTTTGACCCTGTCCTTCTCACAAAAACATGCATACTGATACTTTTAATACTTTTTAAGAAAAGTTCAAAATTCTTATTCTCATTATATCATGGCATAAATACTCAACAGAATAACTAATGCAGCTGTATGTATCACCCTCCTTCACCTGGTCCCTCTCCTATTTCAGCCCTGATAAAACAGCTAGTAACATGGTACTCATCATGTCAACAGGTGGTTTATGGCTCAGCTCTCTGGGTCCTCCACCCTAGAACTGTCCCTGAACTACACACTCACTCCCAATTGGACAAAGGAGGCTTGGGGAGGCTCTTTAAAATTGTGTGGAATAGAACGCTTTGTTTCACCATCACATTCAATCTAATCTGACATTTATTCTGTATCAAAATGTCAAATCCCCCTCTCAAGTCTACTGTGGACTCCTAAATGTTCTATTTAACCCAACATTTTACACTGCCTTTTCATCTGCCTGGGACCACTTCATCCAAACCCCTCGGCACATTCAGCAGCCCCGTTTTAAAAGGCCAACTTTGCCAGTTCCCAAATTTATTTTTGTGATTTTAAGTCTATTAATTAGTTGCTATAAGATGTAAATAAATTCATGTTTGCCCCCCATCTTCTCTCTCCACTTCTCAGATGACATCTCCCAGGACAGGGTACTTTTAAAACACCCCCATGAGCAAACTGAAAGGGTGCACTTTGAACCCACCATAAAATAGAATAAAAGCTAAAATAACAGCAAGAACAACAATCATAAAAAGTATAATAAATGTGTGTACACTTGACCAACAAGTGTGCTTTTAGAGAATCTTTGGAACCAAATGACAAACAATAGCAATAATAACATATTCAGAGTATATGGAGATACATAATAGGTCAAAGACTATTTATATATTTTTGTTGGTCACTTCCTGTACCTTAAAGAAGCATTGAGGCAGTGACTTTAATACATACTGGACTATAACATTCCCAAAGACTTAGGAGGGAGGAAGATTGCATTGGGTGAACATTAGGGTGTTTCACTTCTCGTGTGTCTGTATTTTTGTGTCAATTTGACAGAAAATATATTAAAAATGGTGAAACCAAAAGTAACCTCAACTTGTAGTGTTTGTAACTGTCATATGTTTCCTACCATCTGGTTTGTTCCCACAAACCCCTAAGATGTCCATTCTTATCTGTGAATAGCTGGGTCCAGCTTGCATGACTGGTTTATACAGCTTGTTAGCTACGGCCAGACACTTTCAATGTTTCTACCCCTTTCAGTCACAATTGTGATGCTACACCTGGAATGTCATATAGTCTAGTAAAGAGAAATGTATAAGGAGTTGTGTTGAGCAGGCATGAGTTGTACAATATTCTCAAAAGGAAAAAAGAAGACAATGTAGGTATATAATAGTAAGGATGCATGATACAGATCGAAACACTTGTGTCATTATAGTTGCAACTACAGTAATAATAATCATAATACTTATAGACCAGCAATAACAGTATTAATCAACTGGAAAATGTGAAAATGATGATGGTGGATGTAATTTAATTGCATCCACATTATATAATAATGCTTTTTCATAGACAATTAAAGAAAAGAACAACTGAGGTAATGCAGAACAAAAACAAGTCATTTTGTTTCTTTTTCCTTGTCATTTTCACACCGTTTATCTTATTTTTTGTCTTTTACAGTTGGGTTGGTGGTGTAATGGTAGACTGTTTGGATTGCTCTAATCATTTTCAGAGCAACAGCTGTTACCTAGATTTAACTGCGTCAGATTATGGACTTTTCGCTACTTTTGCATTTCTCCATGCCATTCACCTTTTTGTTGAACAGGTTCTTTAAAAGAAAAAAAGAACTTGGACGTGTTCCTTGCTTTGCCCAGGTGTTTAACTGATGCGATTCCTCCACTGGGCAGGTTTTTGTCAATGTAGTGCTTCATATAAAGGACCTAGGGTTTCAGGCTAGAGATGGCCTACTTTGAGGCTGAACTAACACACTGAGCACAGTTTTGTATGTGTACATATTAAATTTGGTAACATAGGCATTGGGTATTATTACCACACAGACTATTAGGAGCAAAGGTTTGTAATGCTGTAGTGTAAAAAGTTACTGGTGGGCAGCAATTTCTCCATCCACGTCCAATAGTGTTTTTTTATGTAACCATTCTTGTTCTTCCCACAGTTGTCTTCAATCATTGTTGCCAGTCTTGAAATTCACAGGCAGTTTTCATTCGTCCATTACTATGTCACTGTGAGTGTGACAGTTGAAGCAAGCCGAGTTACAGTTGAGTTTATCTTGATTGGATGACCTTTTTCCAAAACACATGGGTTTATACTACCACCCCGTAGAAAATGGAGGGGAGCTCTTTCCAAATGAAGAGGTTCAGAAATATGGAATTCCATGGTGCGAGTGCTGTTTAGTAAGGAGCAAACCTACTGTATCCAGCCCGATATAAACTAGCCTGGAACAAAGAGAAAGGGAGAGAGAGAAAGAGAAATTAGAAATAAGGAAAGGAGGATGTAGCTGTCTTTTTTTTTTAAACAACAGACAGCAGTGAAAAAGATTTGCAAGAAGTAAATAAATACATTTACATAAAGTGAAGATAATTCAGTTTCCAGCCTGTTGTTGTAGTGTTGAGGTTGGGGTGCTCTTACCATGGCACCGACTCCATAGGCAGCAGCAGCAGGACCTAGAGCGTGGTAGGGATCTGTAGTGTACACTCGTCCATAACTGTCCCAGGGGAATACCAACACACATCTTTTAGCTGCACATAGTTAGTGAGAATATAACACACACCTTGCACTGAATAGGCTGAGATATTACAATCACATAACAAAATATTTGTAAGATCAAGTGTATCATAAATACCCACCAAAAAAAAACACAACTAAATAATTTATACTGTGAGTCATAGCCTAGCATGTTATTGTTTAAAAGTCTGGTCACATTATTGCATTTCGAGGCTGCTGGTTTTGGATGCAAGTCCTCAGACGAACGTCCTTATTCTTACCTGTCACTGTAAGCGGCAGCAGCGGCAGCAGTTGCCCCGGTTACAGCAGCAGGCTGAGCAAAGCGATAGGCAGCGGCAGGATAGCCTCCCTGGGAGACAGAGGGACAAATGGAGGTTATCACCACAGTACAGCTGAGGTAGACAGGATTATTACTGAGGCAGAGTTGTGTAAGTGCAGAGTGAGTTAAAGAATCACACAGTACAACGACCAAGTTTAGAACATTTGTGGTTAAAGATTGAAGTATTAACAACAAATAAAAAAAACCAAAAACAGTGGAGGTTGTTGACAATCGTCAATAATGCAGCATATCAAAGATTCTGAATTATAGAGAAAGATATAAGTAACATTTACACGAATCATCCATATTATCTTTGTGATCTCTCATATGCATATAATAGACAAAGAAAGAGGGGGAAAATAGAGATGGCACACGCAAACACACTCACAGTGTCACCTCCTGGCATTGAGACAGCATGCATGCCCCTATTCAACGCAAACTTATTTGAACACACCACTGCATTTGGACCTAATCATACAGAACACAACCCCCAGCATTCCCCTGGAAACCTGCAGTACAACTAGTGACAGGACAGAGGCAGGGGGAGGGGGGCTGAGGGGGAGAAGATAAGGGGGAGAGGGGAAAGGTAGGCCTATGCCTATAGTGCATGCAGACGTTGATCAGCATGCTTCAGTAATTGTAGCTCCAGACAGAGTTGAGACCGGGAAGGGGTTGGGGACAGGCTTTAGTAATAAGAAACTGTGTTCTCCTCATCTTTAATTTCAGCCCCATAGGGCACTGCTGCTACACAGATAGAGTATCTTCCAGCTCATCTCTGTACCTGTTACAGCTATGGATGTTACTCAGCATAATGGCTGTGGTAACTTCCAATTATAAGAAATGGTGCTGGGAACAATGGTGTTTGTATGAAATAAGAGGCTCTCTGCCAGTGACTTAAAGGACAAATACAACTGCCGTCTTTCATGTTATCACTGTCAGCAGTCTAAATTTCAGAGACCAGGTTCTCCTTGAACAAACTGCCAAAAAACACACGCTGTTTAGTAGCTTAGTAACAAACCCCTTCCCCACAATCCACCTGTGCAGATGTCAGTGAGTTAGTAGGAAAATGAAAAAAGCAAGTTACCGTTTCAAAACAAAACAACATCAAAAGATCATAATCACCAGAGGGATAACACAAATGCACACTGTGTTTGGTAATTGACCCTACCTGAGCCAATCTGCTACTAATGACTGAGTCCTGAAACACTATTCTATAGAGAGAACAGAAACAGCCATTGTCAACCTGGACGCACGCACACTGACAGACACGCGGCCTGACACAAGCGCACACAGAGCGGCCCGGCTACCCATGTTGGAACCCCGTGTTACAACACCAGACTACAACATCCTCTGTTACAGTCGGTCTGTCCTCTGGGGAAACTCAGACCCACTGGTGTGATTCCAAGCAGTGGTGGACTGGTAAAATAAAGAGTGTTACCCTTAGCATAATTCAATATAGGAGCTGTGTGCATGAAACAGTTGATTTTTTCAGTCACATTTGGGCAGCGCATTTACGTATGCACATGCAGAAACGCACAGAGAGAAAGGAGAGAGAGTCGTGAGGGAGAGTGAGGAGTGGGAATATACTTACGTATAAGTCTGCAGCTCCATAAAACCCACCATCCTGATACACCACGCTGAGAGAGAAAGTCAGATAGGGGCAGATAGAGGAGATTGCAGGTGAAGAGAGGGCAGACAGAAAGAGAGGGATGGAGGGAGGAGAGAGGGAGGGACAAAGGAGGGAGGAACAGGAGAAGTGGAGATGGAAGGGTCGGTGTGTACAGTGAGATGGTCCAAGACCAGAGTGGCAGGAACGAAAGCCAGGGTGGATGAAAGTAAACAGTGAGATGATTGAGGGGAAAGGTGAACGCACAAAGAGAGAGAGAGAGAGATAGAAAAGTTATTTCACACACATGCAGCATGCAGAGGAAATACCACTTCCATTAATTTCTTCCATTACTGCTGAACAAAGTGGTAATGATAAACATGACTGTACTATAGGGTAACATCCTCTAGCAGCATCCCCCAGGGAGAGGGAATGGAGGCTCATTTACATTGATGAGGAAAAGGTCCTTGACAGACAGAGAGGACAAGTCAGCCAGTCGTTTGTTTGAAGACAGGCAGTAGTGGATTAAATACGGAAGAGGCATTTCCTGCAGCACTAGTTTTTAAAATCCAAAATATCACAGCAATTGCATCCTCATTAACCAATTGGCAAAGCCCAGCAACATGCAACACAGTACAATTTCTCTATGAGACAATCTTGCGGAATTACTGGAACATAGAAAAATATGAAAAAAATGTGTCTGGTCTTTCTGTGCAGCGTGACGCACAGGATCAAATTAGTGTTCTGCTCTGCATCAGAGGGAGTTTGTGTATGAGTGTCTATACTACCAAATTAATGACATTACGCTTATTGGTATTTATAGTAAACTATTGAGGAATGTATAGAAATGTGTAAATATGTCATCTTATGTGTGTCCTTTCAGAGGATGGATTCTGTAGTTGAATCTGTTACCCAGGGTAGGCAGGGAGGGCAGGCTGCGGCACTGCCGCACGCACGGCGCTGTACACTGGCCTCCCCCGGCCCCTAAGGTGGGCACCACGGAACGCAGCTGCCGTGGAGGCCGCCGCTGCCGCAGACGGGTAGGGGAACCCTGGAACTGAGGGAGAGGAAAGGAGAGAGAGAGAGAGAATGAACATCCAACGCCTGGGGGGCACTATGAATTAGGAATGTGTAAATGAAGACAAGTGGATTTGGGTGAAATAAAGGGCATGCAATCTAAGAGGAAGACAAGGTTTACCTGCATAGAGCTCTGGTCCGTACATAGCCTGCACCATTGGGCTTAACTTCCACCCAGCTGAGAAGCAGAGAGGAGGCAGAAACAGGAGGGTTTCATATAGATAGTGGATACACAGGAAGATGGGTATTGAAGTGTTGTATGGATCGTAATGAGGCTAATGGAGCGGTGTGCATCTGGTTACCGTATGGCAGGGTGCTAAGGGCCTCTCCGTTGGGGTAGGGGCTGACCATCTTCTTATTGGTCATCACCCTGGCCGTGGCATTGTTAACCTGGGGAGTGGGAGGAGGGACAGTGAGCACAACGTTTGGCCTGTTCTATTCAATGGAGGAAACACATATAAACACTCTGATATAAAAGACAAATCACACAAGTGGACCAATATTAGACATTTACAGTTGATAGCAATTCATAAATAAACAATACCTAAAAATGAATGTGTGAATAATACAATGGTAATAACACTCCTGCTGTCTAACAACACCATCTTCATCATTTGCCAATAAAATAGTGATTGTGTGTCCACATACAGGGAGGCCATAGTTACAGTCTGCTCCCATTCACCATCACTGGATCATTCACATCAATATGGTGGTGGGTTTGACGCATCACATCGTTAATTCATCCCTGCCAGGCTGCCTCCTTCCTAGCCAGTTATACGACAGCTGACAACATCGGTTATGATTAAGCAGTCTCTGCTCTCCCTTACGGTGTTTATGTGAGTGTGTGTGCACGCGTGTACATCAGTTGGTGGAGGGTTGTTAGGGGGAATCTTAGTCATGCAATTAAAGTGTTCTGCCCAAGAGGAGTGTAATCGATGATTCATTGTTTCGAGACAACTAGCTATACTGAGAGCCAGTGGTTGTGCCCAGCGGTGAGAGGAGAGAGAGAGAGAGCGAGAGCGAGAGCGAGAGCGAGAGCGAGAGAGATCTATAGGTAAGAGAAGAAAAGAAGACAGAGAGATAAGGTGAAGGAGAAGAGCTGGGATACGTGGCACTGCAGGAGAATAATAATATGTGTTTGTAGTATGCAGGTGTGTGAACAAAGGCTGGCATTTCTGTCTAGTGCTGCACCCGGCTGTTGGAGGCCCAAGATGGCTGCTAGCTAGGCTTATCCCCTCACTGAACTTCAAAGGGCCATATTAGGCTCCCTTAATCTTTATCCATCTCCTTTGATGGGATTTATGAGAATGACTGTTGTGCCGTGCAATTGCAGTTTGAGTGTGACGTTGCGCCATGTCAAACTTTGTTGTGAGCTACTAATGACCTATCGGCCAATTGGAGAGCTCTATGTGATGAGGTTCCATTTAGAAGGCCATTATAGATTTAGCCGCCTTCAACACCCCGCTAGTCATACTCTTTATCACTGATTCAAATGGAAATTAGATTTACCTAATTTTCCTTCATTGCAAATGAGATGGTCAGCCTTGAGTGATTCAATTAGCTGACGTAATTGTCCCTGTGAGGGAAGACACTAAAATAAAACAAATAAATCAGCCTAATGAATCAGATTAACGCTGATAATCTTTTTACATCACAGCATTCATATCCGGGTCACTTATAAAGCTCTATTTTGGGTGTGATAACTGGGCAATGATCAATTTCCTTATGTATATTTAGTGGTGTATGTCAATGCCAGGGGAGGTAATGCAATTTGATCAATCTCACAGAGAGGTAGACATGCAAATCAAACAGAGACCAAAGTGAGAAACACATCTGCATGGGTTAATAATAAACATTCAACCCCATCCATTCCATCCCACCACTCAACTTAGGACACAAGCCCACAGCAGTCCAGCAGAACTAACAGAACTGGACCAAAGTAACCCAAACCACCCCCAAATTAAACCAAACTTGTTGGGGTTTACCTAAAAAGACATCAACATCAATACATAAAAGGAGGAGGGAGAGAAAGAGGGGTGCAAAAAACATTTGTTGGACAAAATAAATAATTTTATAACACAGAAATTATACGCAGCCAAATATGGGCGCATCACATGACCAAGAGTGAGAATAAAGAACCAAAAAATTAAATTCAGCCAATCAGCAAGCGTCGGATGCAGCATAGAGACCAATCAAAACAATCGCAGCACTCCCATATCAAACACATACAGAGACAGATGGGACAGGTAAGGAGTTCAGGAGAGGGATGCAGGTGAGAGAGAGAGACAGAGATACAGAGCCAGTCCACATACAGAAACAGGGAAACACAAAGATGGTGTAAGGAAGAGAGAGACATTGTCTACATAAGCAACAACAACAAAATCAACAATTACTTTTCTCAAAAACAAAAATAACAAATACCAAGGTGCGTCATTCAAAAAAAAAGCAATTAGATTCTGTGACCATTCTCCAAAAAATCTCCCTAAGTTGTATGTGGAGGGATAGAGGGACAGAGAGACAGAGCACCAAAGGATGGAAGGGAAGAGAGAGAAGAACAATCCTCATACCCCAAAAAAGAGAAATCAAATAATACATGATTCACTGCCAGGCATTATTACTGTGTCACAAACTAAGACCAGTACAGAAACTACTATACACACACAATTCAATAAAGGAAAACCAAACCAAAGAAGATAAAAGGACAGCAAAAGACAGACCAAAGGATCACCGAGTTAAAAACCCAATGTGTTTATATAAATCATTATTTAAACCCCATATCTTTTCAGAAATTAGGCTATTCTACAAAGGTATTTACAGAACAGAATTACATCTGTGTGCTTTTAAGTCCTTGTTGTTAATCCCATTAATATAGACTACTACACTCACTACAGAGTGATTGAGTATTCTCTTAAAGTGCATTCCATAAGATTCCCTGCTACTGCTCGCAATTTTAACTTCAAAAATCCTCAAACTTTAAGAAGAGGACCAACACGATTAACACAGTTTCTCATTGTGAAGAGAAAATATGGACAGATGGATGAGCCATCCTTTCTAAACAATTACAATTTCACTTACTCCTGTGACAGATATATTTTTGACTGCTTTATGGACATACAGTGAGGGAAAAAAGTATTTGATCCCCTGCTGATTTTGTATGTTTGCCCACTGACAAAGAAATGATCAGTTTATAAATTTTAATGGTAGGTTTATTTGAACAGTGAGAGACAGAATAACAACAAACAAATCCAGAAAAATGCATGTCAAAAATGTTATAAATTGATTTGCATTTTAATGAGGGAAATCATTATTTGACCCCCTCTCAATCAGAAAGATTTCTGGCTCCCAGGTGTCTTTTATACAGGTAACGAGCTGAGATTAGGAGCACACTCTTAAGTGCTCCTAATCTCAGCTCGTTACCTGTATAAAAGACACCTGTCCACAGAAGCAATCAATCAATCAGATTCCAAACTCTCCACCATGGCCAAGACCAAAGAGCTCTCCAAGGATGTCAGGGACAAGATTGTAGACCTACACAAGGCTGGAATGGGCTACAAGACCATCGCCAAGCAGCTTGGTGAGAAGGTGACAACAGTTGGTGCGATTATTCGCAAATGGAAGAAACACAAAATAACTGTCAATCTCCCTCAGCCTGGGGCCCCATGCAAGATCTCACCTCGTGGAGTTGCAACGATCATGAGAACGGTGAGGAATCAGCCCAGAACTACACGGGAGGATCTTCTCAATGATCTCAAGGCAGCTAGGACCATAGTCAACAAGAAAACAATTGGTAACACACTACAGCGTGAAGGACTGAAATCCTGCAGTGCCCGCAAGGTCCCCCTGCTCAAGAAAGCACATATACAGTCCCGTCTGAAGTTTGCCAGTGAACATCTGAATGATTCAGATGAGAACTGGGTGAAAGTGTTGTGGTCAGATGAGACCAAAATCGAGCTCTTTGGCATCAACTCAACTCGCCGTGTTTGGAGGAGGAGGAATGCTGCCTATGACCCCAAGAACACCATCCCCTCCGTCAAAGATGGAGGTGGAAACATTATGCTTTGGGGGTGTTTTTCTGCTAAGGGGACAGGACAACTTCACCGCATCAAAGGGACAATGGACGGGCCATGTACCGTCAAATCTTGGGTGAGAACCTCATTCCCTCAGCCAGGGCATTGAAAATGGGTCGTGGATGGGTATTCCAGCATGACAATGACCCAAAACACACGGCCAAGGCAACAAAGGAGTGGCTCAAGAAGAAGCACATTAAGGTCCTGGAGTGGCCTAGCCAGTCTCCAGACCTTAATCCCATAGAAAATCTGTGGGGGGAGCTGAAGGTTCGAGTTGCCAAACGTCAGCCTCGAAACCTTAATGACTTGGAGAAGATCTGCAAAGAGGAGTGGGACAAAATCCCTCCTGAGATGTGTGCAAACCTGGTGGCCAACTACAAGAAACGTCTGACCTCTGTGATTGCCAAAAAGGGTTTTGCAACCAAGTACTAAGTCATGTTTTGCAGAGGGGTGAAATACTTATTTCCCCCATTAAAATGCAAATCAATTTATAACATTTTTGACATGCGTTTTTCTGAATTTTTGTTGTTGTTATTCTGTCTCTCACTGTTCAAATATACCTACCATTAAAATTATAGACTGATCATGTCTTTGTCAGTGGGCAAACGTACAAAATCAGCAGGGGATCAAATACTTTTTTCCCTCACTGTAAAGCTTGTACCTTTTGTTAATGCAGAGGCGTAGCCAGAAATTGGTAGGTGGGCCTGCAGAAATTTTAATTGGCCAACAGGACCAATCCAATCTGATTGGGTGGACCTGGCAGGGCCTGGCTCCCCAGTGGGTAAGCCTGTGTCCACCCAAGCCCACAAATGCCTATGACCCTGTGTTAATGTTTCGGTTTCCATGAGTGATTCATCCTGAAGTTTCAAAATGCGAAATACATAAACATATACACTTTAGCACAGTATACTTTCATATTTAGAACATAGAAAAACACATAGAATTAGGAATTAGAATACTAGAATGGACATGAATCTTTTTATGATGGGACAAAAGCCATTTTGGTCAGGGAGTTGGTCAACCATGGTTTGCCAGTGCTGTGATAAGATCATGTAAAACAGGGATGGGCAACTGGCGGCCGCAGTCCCCCTTTTGAAGGCCCTCTGATATTTATTTGGGGGGGGGGGAACTCAGTCGGGGTCTCAACTTACTGTTGTGAAGTAGAATAGTGGAATACACAAGGTGCAATTTCGAAATTTGGTTGTGCATCAACTGTTTTTATCTTGTTATGTCAGTCACTGATAGTCACTCAATTAGCCCATGTCAGCTAACATTTTTTAGATTGGTAAATTAGTCTAGCAGCCAGCTACCTAAACTTATAGTAATCAAGGTCGATTTAGAGCCCGGGGGGCACCCATTGATTTTGTT